TGAAACTCCGTGTCAAAAAAAGAAAAAAGCCATAGATTATTCTATATTGACCATGCTACTTAAAATGATGTCTCAGGGCCTGCAGTATCAATCTCTTGGAGCTTGTTAGAAATGCAGAATGTCAGGCCCCATCTTACAAATGCTGAATCTGCATTTTAAAAAGATCCCCCCACCGGGTGCAGTGGCTCATGCCTGTAATCCCAGCACTTTGGGAGGCCGAGGTGGATGGATCACGAGGTCAAGAGATCGAGACCATCCTGGTCAACATGGTGAAACCCTGTCTCTACTAAAAATACAAAAAATTAGCTGGGCATGGTGGTGCACACCTGTAACCCCCGCTACTCGGGAGGCTGAGGCAGGAGAATTGCCTGAACCCAGGAGGCAGAGGTTGTGGTGAGCCGAGATCGTGCCATTGCACACCAGCCTGAGTAACAAGATCGAAACTCCATCTCAAAAAAAAAAAAATAATAAAGATCCCCAGGAAATCTTTATCATATTAGTATAGGAATCTGCTATGGTTTCAGTTTGTCCCCTCTGAAATTCATGTTGAATGTTGGTTCTTCATGTGGCAGTCTTGAGAGCTGGGGCCTTGTGGGAGTTGTTTGGGTCACTGGGTTGATCCCTTATGAATAGACTAATTCCCTCCTTTGGGTGTGAGTGAGTTCTTGCTCTTGCAGAAGAGGATTAGTTACCAGAGAACGGGTTGTTATAAAATGAGTCTCTTGCTTCCGCTTGTGCTGTGTGATCTCTTTGCACATGTCTTTTCCACTCCACCCTGTATTTTTTTTTTTTTTTGTTTTTGAGACAGAGTCTTGCTCTGTCGCCAGTTGGAGTACAGTGGCACCATCTTGGCTCACTGCCTCTGCCTCCTGGGTTCACATGACTCTCCTCTCTCAGCCTCTGAGTAGCTGGGACTATAGGCACATGCCACCATGCCCAGCTAATTTTTGTATTTTTAGTAGAGAGGGGGTTTCTTCACCTTGTTGGCCAGGGTGGTCTTGATCTCTTGACCTTGTGATCTGCCTGCCTCTGCCTCCTAAAGTGCTGTGATTACAGGTGTGAGGCAGTGTGTCCAGCCTTTCACCATGTTTTGACCAGCACATGGCCCTCACCAGAAGTCAACCAATTGTGAGCTAAATAAACCTTATTTAAAAAACACACACACACACACACACACACACCAACAACAAAAAACAAAATACTGAATCTTAGGTATTCTTTTGTAGCAACACAAAATGGACTAAGACAGTTGCTGCTATGCGTGATGCCTTCTGGATTACCTGATCTAGGATTCTTTCAGAGATTTAATCTTTTTCCATGTGCCTGACTCTTTCTAAAAATAGTGACAATTCTCCTGTATCCAGCCACTTTGCTGTCTCTAATACATGTGAATGTCCTGGGAATTAGGTAAAGTCTGTGATTTTTCTGCTCAAAGGGCAAGGATTTCCTTCAGTAGCATAGTCAATCTAGGATATTGATAATCTTAATAGAGAAGCTAAAAGTTTCCCCCCTTTTTTCACCAAGAAATTGCTGAGGATATTTGAGAGACTGTGTTCAAATTCATCATGATCTGTATAATACCAGTTCTTTGAAATGCATTAATATTTGCCATCATGTGGCAGAATGTTGTCAGTGTTCTCTGGGTACTTGAAAACAATGTATATGCTACATTTGTTGAGTGCCAATCTCTGCAAAATTTGAAAGATCATGAATTCAAGTTCAATTCTTTGCCTTTTTTTTTTTTTAGACAGAGTTTGCTGTTGTTGCCCAGGCTGGAGTAATGGTGCAATCTCAGCTCACTGCAACCTCTGCAACCCGTGTTCAAGAGATTCTTCTGCCTCAGCCTCCCAAGTAGCTGGGATTACTGGCATGAACCACCACGCCCAGCTAATTTTTGTGTTTTTTAGTAGAGATGGGGTTTCACCATGTTGGCCAGGCTGATCTTGAACTCCTAACCTCAGCTGATCCACCCACCTTGGCCTCCCAAAGTGTTGGGATTACAGGCATAAGCCACCATGCCCAGCTGATTCCTTGTTCTTGTTGAAAATATATTTACTTTATAAGTATAATGGATTAAGAGTTGTGCGAACATTTCATGTCTCATCTCCAGACTCAACTGTTTAGTACACACAGCTTCCGCTTTATCATCTCCACTTAGGCGTCTCATACCATAACCTTGGGTTCATCATGTCTAAAATGAAGTTTCATCACTTTCTCACTAAACAAGTTCTGTTTCCACTTTTACTGTTTCAGGAAATGGCACCATCCACTTTCTTAAACTAGAAGCCTGAAAATAATCCTTCCTGTCTTTTACCTCCGTTCCCCATATGTCATTTGCCAAACTCTGTCATTTCCAGTTTCTTAAAGATTCTTGAATCTGTCCACTGATCTCCAATCCCTGGGCCACTACCTCAGTTAAGGCTACCAAGATTAAAATTCTGATTGCTGTTACAGAATGTGTCTCCGTCTCTGCTTTCACCCACCTCAAATCTGTATTCCACATCTCACTCAGATTGGTTGTCCTGAAACAAAGATCCAAACATGTCACTTATCAAAAATCTTTTATTGACTCCCCATTCACCTCAAGGTAAAGAATGAACTCTTTAAAATAGCTATCATTTTATGAGCATGCATTATTTCCTCAAGACAAGCCCATAATGCAGATACTATTGTAATTATTATCATCCTCTTTTGAGATAAAGAAACAAGCATAGAGAGTTTAAGCAACATGTTCCATGTATCAGTCAGAGAAACAGATCCACTGTGTGTTATAAGATAAGGGATATATTATAGAATGTGTATATATAGCCGTATGAGATGCTGGGGAAGGAAAATCTGAAAGGGAGATTTGGAAGATCCGAGTGGTTCCCAGCCAGTCAACACAAAAAACCAAGAACATCCAGCCACCCAAGTGGGACTGTGAAGCTGCTGGCAGATAAGTCTGTGGGAAGATTTTGCCTCTGTGGGTTTGTAGTCAAGCATTCAGTGATGGTCCTAGGGCTGTTCCTAGTCAGAAGAGCCAGAGCAGAGAAGAAGAGCTGGAAGTGAAGTGGAAGAGAGTAAGCACAAGCTGGGATCCTCTGTGTCTGTTCACTACATCTAATCACAATGACTTTTAGAGAGTAATGGCTGTGGCTTCATTTCTACCTTCTAAATCTTGTAAAAGTTCTCTATTTGGCCATGCTAACAGAGTACTATCTGTTTAAAAATGTGAAATGTGGCTCTCAGATTAACTAGGTTGACAATAGAATGATTCCCCATACCTAAAGCTGTTAAGACACGGTTTATGTCTGAACCAGGATTTGAACCCAGGCAGCCTGGCTCAGATTCCATTAAGGTCCACTTTATTATGTCCTCCATGGTCTGATAAACTACTTATCTCTGCTTTCACAGAATCCTGTTGTACATCCTCTACTTCAGCCACACAGGGCTACCTCTAGAAACCTGACAAGGGGGTGCTCTTCTGACTTTTGGGCACCTGCTAGTCCCATGCAGAAAACTCTGCCTTTCCTCACCCATAAAATGGCTATGTGTTATTTGCCTTTTGGGTCTTAGATAAGCTGTCACTGTCTTTAGAACAACATCCCTGTCCCCCAAAGATGGTGTTAAGTACTCCCTGTGTGACAAGATCTAATGCTTGCTGTTCTCTTAGGACTTAATACACACCTCCTACCGGGGCAGAGGCCTGTCTGCCTTGCTCACTACTGTATACCTGACACTTAGCACAGTGGCTAATGAATCATGAATAAACAACCACACTCTTCAGTAACTACTTTATCTAACTCCCTTTTTGGACTTTACACTCAATTGAAACAGAGATTTTTGTCTTGCCTAATGCATTTTCAGCATCCAGCATAATATCAATCTGTTCAGTATTTGTTGAATTAATGAGTCCAAAGATAACGGGAAAACACTGAAAATTCAGATTATTAATTGTGTATGTTCTCTACTTGGTATATTAGATAGTAAAAAATCTTGAGTGAGAATTAACTTGGAATTGAATATTCTTCTACTTAGACCATTAGGATCATTAATCACTCTTTTCTGTTCATCTTCTCAGGCACAGCTAGTAAGGCAATTTTATACCATAAAATTCTTGGTTGTCTTTCTGGTTTCATTGACACCACAGTAGACCTTAAAATGATTTGAAGGTCCCCAACAATAAAAACATGAATACATTATTGCTGTTAGAGAGTGAGAGAAACACCCTAACTTCCTGTGCTGGGTGTTGCTGATTATCCTGTTGAACTTGATTACTGATTACTGAGAGTTGCATGTTAGAGTTCTGCTTGTTCATAGTTCTGAAGAAGTCTAGGGAATGAGTAATTACAGTGCTCATTCAGAAGAAGGCTGCAATCCAGATGTAGTACTTAGGAAGGTAGAGTAGTTAGTATGTTTTCCATGAAAATATACCGGTCTCCACAGGAAAACCAAAGTGAAAGAATATGCCGTATACAAAAGTGAATCCTATATCTTATAAATGCCTCTATGAGAAAAAAGATGAAGGAGGAAATTACAGGAACTAGAATCTGATCTAAGAAAAGATATGCAATGTATACTTAGTGCCTATATTTGTATGCTATAGGAGAAGGATATCCTTTTTTTTTTTTTTAGATGGAGTCTTGCTCTATTGCTCAGGTTGGAGTACAGTGGTACGATCTCGGCTCACTGTAGACTCTGCCTCCTGGGTTCAAGCGATTCTCCTGTCTCAGCCTCCCAAGTAGCTGTAACTATAGGTGCCCACCACCATACCCAGCTAATTTTTGGATTTTTAGCAGAGACTAAGTTTCACCACGTTGATCAGGCTGGTCTCAAACTCCTGACCTCAAGTGATTTGCCCGCCTCAACCTCCGAAAATGTTAGGATTACAGGTGTGAGCCACAGTGCCTGGCTGGGATATGAAAATTTTTCTAAAGACAAAGTCAATAGTATCAGAAACCTAAGTCAAACATTAAGAGAAGATAAGCCTTTGAAAGATAAAGGAGAAAGTTTTAAATAAATTATTAGCATGTCATAAAGTTTTACTTATTTTAAGGTGAAACAAAAATGTTAGTTAATAAATGATGGTAGAAATATTAATTAGTATGTTTATGAACCATTATTCTGTTTATATTCTCTTATGAAGGATAATTTTGTGTTAGTATAAGATTTTATTTCTAGATTATAAATGTCAACAAAAGCAAGTGTTGGCTGAGCCTGGGTGAAACACAAGATGTTTATAAAACATACACAATTGTGACAATTCAAATGCAGAACTTTCTGTTTAAACAAATGATATGGTTAAAGCAGAAGTATAAACAGGGCTGTAATTCATGACACATCCAATTCATTTTCCTGCGACAGTCATTAGTTTCTCACCTTTGCAGTAACGCCCATATGAGTGCAACAAAACAGACCATGACTAAAGGATTTGGTAAGATCTTGCTCTACAAGAAAACAAAAAGAAAAATAAATAAGACGTTAAGAAAAAGTACTACGAATTGCTGTTTAATGCATTCCCTATGCTTACAGAACTGTGTAGCTAGGCTACTGGGAATTTAACTGTCTGAGTCTTCTTTCATTTCCAGACCAATAATACTTACATTGACATAGCCTCAGTCTACATTATATAAATTAGAGCCAGAACCAAAATAATTTCCTGGCTTTTAGTTTTAAAGAAATGAAAATCTTGGTATGAAGGCTTTCCTGTTGCTACTGTATCAAGATCTATTTGGTGTATATGGTATCAAAACCTATATGATACATGTGTAGTATGTAGCTTGATCATGGTTATATAGAAAGACTATTCTTTTTAAGTAAGGCTGCTCCTTTTTAAATAACAGTAAAACATAGGAATCTTCAAATCAGAAGTCTATTTTTCCATGGGTATGATGAAATGATGCTTTCAAACTATTACAAATTAACTGGGTAGGTAAGTAATAAAACAGAATGACAAGGAATTCTGAGGTTTATGTCTTTTTGGTGTAACAGACAGTAAAGTATGTAGGTAATTGGATTCCTAACCTTGTCCCCTCACTGAGTGTTATATATGCCCGCTCTTCTACTATACTCCCATGGGGAAGTAATCCTGGAGCATGAAGATCATTAAAACAGCGCCAGTGGCCACAAACATGGTATTGAGGTTATTACCTTGGTTATCTCTGTACTAATTTCATGTATATTATATGCATATCTACCTGTTTTCATAAATGCTGGGTACCAAGTAGAAAATTTTCAAGTTGTTAAATGTAGAAATTAGGAATATTAGTAATTTTAAGCTTATGATGAGTTGCAGATGTAGTAATAATTCATGTGAGATGTTCTGTCAAATGATTTGAAAGTCATTAAAATCCTTCACCCAGAAATAAATCCATGCATTTACGCTCAATTGATTTTTGACAAAGATGCCAAGGACACACAATGGGGAAAGGAAAGTCTCTTCAGTGAACGGTGCTCATAAAACTGAACATCCACATGCAGAAGAATGAAATTAGATTCTCATCTCACAACATATTAAAAATATTAACTCAGAATCCAAAGACCAAAGACTTAAATCTAAGAACTCTAACTATAAAACTACTAGAAGAAAACACAGGGGAGAAGCTGCATTACATAGGTCTGGGCAATGATCCTTTGGCTACGACTCTCAAATCCAGGTAAAATAAAAACAGATGAATGAGATTATATCCAACTAAAAAGCTTCTGCACAGCAAAGGCAACAATCAGCAGATAAAGAGATAACCTATGGAAGAAGAGAAACTATTTGGAGATTAAATGTCTGATAGAGGGTTTACCATCTAATAAGAGATAATATCCAAAATATATAAGGAATTCGTTTCATAAGAAAACAACTCAATTTAAAAATGGGCAAAGGACCTGAATAGATATTTTTAAAAGAAGATATACAAATGGCCAACAGGTTTACAAAAAATGTCTTGCCACCATTATCATCAGAGAAATGCAAGTTAAAATCACAATGAGATATCACATCATGCTTGTTAGAATGGCTATGATTGAGAGTACAAAAGATAAGTGTTGTTGGCAAGGAAAGATAAGTGTTGTTGGCAAGGATGCGGAGAGGTAAGGCTTTGTGGTAAGAATGTAAATTAAAATAGCCATTATGAAAAGCACCACGGGGGCTTTATAAAAAATTAAAAATATAACTACCATATGATCCAGCAATCCCACTTATGGGTATATACCTAAAGGATATGAAATTAGTATGTCAAAGAGTAAAATGGTGGTTACCAAAGGCTGGCGGGTGGGGGAATTGGAGAAATGTTTGTTGACGCATACAAAATTTCAATTAGACAGAAGATATGACTTCAAAATATGGTGACCAGAGTTAATAGCAATGTATCGTATCTTTAAAAATTACTACTAGAGTCTGGGAGAGGTGGCTCAGCCTATAATCCCAGCACTTTGGGAGGCTGAGGTAGGCAGCTCACAAGGTCAGGAGATTGTCACCATCCTGGCCAACACGGTGAAACCCCATCTCTACTAAGGATAGAAAAACTAGCTGGGTGTGGTGGCACACGCCTGTAGTCCCAGCTACTCTGGAGGCCGAGGCAGGAGAATCGCTTGAACCCTGGAGGCACAGGTTGCAGTGAGCCAAGATCATGCCAGTGCACTCCAGCCTGGTGGCAGAGTGAGATTTCTGTCTCAAAAAAACAAAAAAAAAATGACTACTAGAGTAGATTCTTAGTATTCTTACCACAAAAATAAGAGGATGTGAGGTAATGCATACATTAATTATCTTGATTTAGCTATTCCACAGTGTATACTCATAGCAAAATATCATGTTGTACACCATAAAATATACAATTATTATTTGTCGATTTAAGAAATATGCCCTCATTTTCATAAATTTTTTGTTCAATTGCTCTCTCTTCAAGGGAAGTACTGTAACTACACCAGAATAAGGAGCAACTTTATTAATGAGTGTTCAAAGCAAAAGAATCCTTTTTCCAAGTGGACATTTTACTGTCCAGAGAATGCTCATCATAATTGTTCAGCGTCCCTGGCTTCGTAGCACCATTCCAAACACTGTCTTTAGTTTCTGTATCGTGTGCACAGTAGACCATTGTCACTAGGCACCAGGCTTCTTGTTGGCTTTCAGAATTCTCTTTCTTGCAGGGTTAATACTTGAGGTGAGAAGGATTATGTATTTCTGTTTGAGAATTCATATTAAGGTATCAGCAGGTTTTTTATTTATTTTATTTTATTTTGAGATGAAGTCTTGCTCTGTCACCCAGGCTGGAGTGCAGTGGCATGATCTCAGCTCACTGAAACCTCTGCCTCCCGGGTTCAAGAAATTTTCCTGCCTCAGCTTCCTGAGCAGCTAGGACTACAGGTGCATGCCACCACGTCCAACTAATTTTTTGTATTTTTATTAGAGACGGGGTTTCACCATATTGGCCAGGCTGGTCTCAAACTCCTACCTCGTGATCTACTCATCTTGACCTCCCAAAGTGCTGGGATTACAGGCGTATGCTACTGAGCCTGGCCTATTTATTCTTTAATTCTGACCTATGTGTTCTCAATATAGATAGTATGATTTGTCTATTCATTGAGCATGTATTTAATGTTGGTTAATGTGCCACAGAGTGTGCTAAATGCTAGAGGCACAAACTACAAGGATACAGTCCCAACCTCAAGAAGTTTAGTAACTAGTGGAGGAGAAAGGGACACGGAGAGAGGAACAACCCATACTGGGGCCTTTCAGAAGGTGGAGGGTGGGAGAAAGGAGAGGATCAAGAAAAATAATTAATGGGTACCGGGCTTAATACCTGAGTGATGAAATAATCTGTACAACAAACCGCCATAACGCAAGTTTACCTATGTAACAAACCTACACTGTACCCTGAATTTAAAATAAAAGTTAAAAAATATATATATTTCTGATGCATAAGTGATTTATTCAAACACAAGTGACATGTCAAAAATATCAAAATAAAGCATGGAAATTGTATGTGATAATTGAAAAAGCTTTTATAAGTATAAAACAAAAGAGTAATTTAGCATGAAAAGAATCAATATAATTTCAAAGGTTTAAAACTCTTAACAGAAGGAAAGGAAGATGACAAGTTAAAGTATTTCTTTACTACTTCTTAATGTTGGGATTTCAATCTAGCATAAAAGTTTAATCTTTAACATCAGATGATATTAAAAGTCCTCTATGATACGTGCATGATAGCTTCGTCATTAGCATTTTATGATCTGTGACATCATGTCCACAGGTAAGAACAGTGAAGCAACTTTAAGGCAATAAAACATTATAAATTATCTTCAATCATTAATGTTTTATCTCTTTTGTTTCACAATAATACAGTATTTCAAGGTAAGTCCATAGTTCTAGAAACATCTGTTACTAACAGCAAAAAGAACAAAATGATTGATCCATTTAGAAGTGCCTCATCTCATGGATTAGCTTGTGCTTTAAATTATAGATAAGTGTGTGACCATATTCAGAAAGTCTAAGGGGCTGTTCTAGTTAAGAGTGAGATATACAGCTTAAAAATCCTGGCTTTAAATATCCACTCCATCACATACTGCTCTGTGACTTGGCAAAGTTACTTAGTTTACCAAAATCTCATTTTCTTCATCTGTAAAATGATGGTATTAATAGTATCTCTGATTAAATAACAGAATAAGTTCTACAGTAACTGGCACATAGTAAGCAATGAAGAAATAATGACCATTATTTTTACCATATTATTATTGTTCTTATTTTGGTTCACTCCAATTTTACTTGGTCAGTAATAAGACTGTGTGTAAGAAGAATCAATTCTGTCCTTATTCTGCTGTAATAGCATTTGGTGGATGAGACAGTAATACCAGAAATTGATGTACATTGTTACATTACGTTATTCATCCAGTCTTCATGTGTTTGTGAAATCTGTGATATATATTAGATATCAGATTACTAATTCTGTATGTACTCAAGGAGCTTTCATGTGCATCAGAAAACATCTTGGGATACTTTCTGTTTAGAATGTAAGAATGCTCACACACATGCTCAGCTGTGTGGTTTTTTTATTTTTGAGAGAGTTTCAATCTGTCGCACAGGCTAGAATGCAGTGGCGTGATCTTGGCTCACTGCAACCACCATCTCCCAGGTCAAGCGATTCTCCTGCCTCAGCCTCTCAAGCAGCTGGGACTACAGGTGCATGCCACCATACCCAGCCAGTTTTTGTATTTTCAAAATTTTTATTATTATACTTTAAGTTCTGGGATACATGTGCAGAATGTGCAGGTTTGTTACATAGGTATACATGTGCCATGATGGTTTGCTGCATCCATCACCCCATCATCTACATTAGGTATTTCTCCTGATGCTATCCCTTCCCTAGCCCACCACCCCCTGCTTTCCCTCCTGTAGCCCCAACCCCCTGACAGGCCCCAGTGTTTGATGTTCCCCTCCCTGAGTCCATGTGTTCTCATTGTT